ACTCCAGCTGCGCTCTCACAGAGAGAAATTAAAAACAAAACTTAACGGCAGCAAACTTTAAAAGCAACACTTCACGCTTGTTTTGCCAACACAATGTGGCGTCTCTGTCGTCTAAACACTGTGACAGTAATGAATATTAATGAAGTTGCACAATAGAGCGCGCTGATTGGTTTGAACCAAGCTTTTCTCATGCATTAATGCATCACACTGTAAGTCGTAACAAGACACACTCTGGCACAGATGCCCAGTCTGTTCGCTGAAATACACACTATTATGTCATGGCCGTGACGCAGCTTCAAAAATTCGTTTCAAACCGGTAGTATGAATTTGCTTGAAATAACGCAGTGAAATTTTAGTGAAATATAGTGAAATATAGGTGTGAAATATAGGTGTCCTAATAGTGTTTTTAGCAGTGTGGGACACATATACTGTCAACAGCTCAAAAAATGTGTTTTGGTGTTTCGTGACCCTTTAAGTGAGAACAGCAGGCACGAATGGCACTCATGAGAGAAATTTGACATCTCAAAAAAAGCTTACACATTGGCCTCTGGTGGATTTGTGAAAACAAAAACTGCAAAAACATTTACCTCCTTTGGCGTATTTGGCGCTCTCCAGAAATGTAGGTAGCCGTACATTTTCACAATGAGCCTGGGTTGCAAATATCTTAATTGATGCAGCTATAAATTATTTAGTCAAAATATTACCCTTTTTTGTTTACTAAGTCCGGATATGTTAAATGATTTAGAAGCCTCTATACATTTGTTAGTGTGGTTTATACAGCATAAATAAGCAGAACAATGTATTTGTTGTACATTAACCTTGCAATCTATGCTTTTGTTTACATCCGACTATCCACAGTATGGCTGTTAAAACGAGTAACTGACCACATTTTGACATAAATAAGATTTAAAGGGCACATATTTCACCCTTAATTCAAGATTTAATACAAGTATTTTGTGTCTCCAGAATGTCTCTAAGGTTTATCTAAGCTGTTTTTGTTGCTTTTGCCTTTAATGCACATGAGCTGGTTTGCCCACCCACCGTTCTCATGTGCTTGTTACCGCTTGTAGCTTTCACGTAGATAAACAGCATAGGGACAGACAAGAATGAAGCAGATCTTCCTTATTACAATAATAACTTTTCCAACTGTTATTTGATGTATTTGTTGTGGAATTAATTCATCCATTCTGCAAAAATGAGTCACAAGCAATGTCAATGTAAAGTTTAAACACGCACGCACAATAATAATAATAATAATAATTCCTTACATTTATATAGCGCTTTTCTGGGCACTCAAAGCGCTTTACACACAATGGGGGGATCTCCTCATCCACCACCAGTGTGCAGCATCCACCTGGATGATGCGGTGGCAGCTATTTTGCGCCATACCGCACACCACACACCAGCTGATTGGTGGAGAGGAGACAGTGATGAAGCCAGTTGGAATATGAGGATGGTTAGGTGGCCATGATGGACAGAGGCCAGTGGGCAGATTTGGCCAGGATCCTGGGGTTAAACCCCTACTCTTTTCGAAGGACATCCTGGAATTTTTAACGACCACAGAGAGTCAGGACCTCGGTTTAACGTCTCATCCGAAAGACGGCGCTCACTGAGCAGTATGGCGTCCCTGTCACTATACTGGGGCATTAGGACCCACACAGACCTCAGGTTAGGCGCCCCCTGCTGGCCTCACTAACACCACTTCCGGCAGCAACCTAGCTTTCCCATGTGGTCTCCTATCCAGGTACTGACCGGGCACAGCCCTGCTTAGCTTCAGTGGGCGATCATGTGAGAGTTGCAGAGAGCTAGCTGCTGGCAAATAAAAAAAAAAAAAAACATTTATTTTTGCAGTGTTTTTGCAACATAAGGGAGACCACCCATCCCCCCCAAAAAAAATATAAATACGTTCTTCTGTAGCTGTTTCATTTTAAATAAATTGTTCAAAAAATTAGTAATATGTTTTATTATTTTTATTATTATTATTATTATTATTATTATTATTATTATTATTATTATTATTATTATTTACAAAGCATATAATAAAATTTACATTACAAAAAGCTGCAAACAAATGAAACAGTTAAGCCTATTAAGATTAATTGCTATTATAAAAAAATATATATATTGTTATTAATTCTCATTAACCTTTTCTTCACTGTATAATTGAAACATTCTGATTGAAGAGCAGCAAATTAATCTGTCATTTAGATTTTTAATTTCATTTGATTACATTGACAGAGGTGTCATTTTAAAAATGCACGGATCAATAATGAAAGTAATTGCTTTCGTAACTGTTAATGCTAATTTAGGACAAAATTTGATTATTTGCTTAAAAGAAAACCCACCTAGATCGACATGATAACATTATTATGTGTATATGTCTGTCCAAACACACACCTAAAACCAGAGTATTCACTTTTCCTCTGCTTCTAATTGCATGTACCGAATCCATTTATGAAACAGCATCTATTTACCAATATGGAGCGCGTCTGACAGCGTACTTACACTTTGTACAGTTGCCTTGTTCTAGGCCAAAGCACTCTTGTCCCCCTCCCGTCTCCCCCGACGGCCACTTACATTACATTCAGGCATGGGCACGCTTACATCATCAATGATCCGCTGTTCAGTAAGAACTTTCGCTCAGCACAGTGGATATTTTTTTCAGTTATATAATTATAGTAATATATATATATATATAATATATATATATATATATATATATATATATATATATATATATATATATATATATATATATATATATATATATATATATATAATATAATAATATATATATATAATATAGTCGTTTGGTATGCAGTCAATTATTTTGCCGAACAGATCAGCCACTTTTGACGCTTATAAACAATCAAAAATTCCTCTTGCTGCAGGAGGTTTGCTGAAGGTGCAGCTGTGGTGCAGTGAGAGGTTTGCGTCTTTAATAAACTATAACAGTTTGCGTTCATTTAACAGTAAAGAATGACTAATAAATCCATATCAAACAGTCCCTTAAAAGTCACATCTCGCTTTCAGTTTTAGGCTCAAGCACGTTTTGCACTCACACACATGCGTACCGCGCCAAAGCCCAAATAAACCGTGAGCCTGATTCAGAGCACTCACACTTCTCAAACGATTCAGTTTAGATAGCATAGTATGAGTACGCCCTGACAGTCACACAGTTCTTACAGTTGAAGTCAGAATTATTATCCCCCTTTTTAATTTTATTACATTATTTAAAAAATTCACAAATTATGTTTAACAGGCCAAGGAAATTTTTACACTATGTCTGATAATATATATAAATATATATATATATATATATATATTTTTTTTTTTTGGAGAAAGTCTTATTTGTTTGATTTTGGTTAGAATAAAAGCAGTTTTTTATTAAAACAATTAAAAATAAAAACATTTTAGTGACAAAATGATTATCCCCTTTAAGCTATTTTTTCGATAGTCTCTACAGAACTAACCATCATTATACAATAACTTGCCTACTTACCCTAACCTGCCTAGCTAACCTAATTAACCTTGTTAAGCCTTTAAATGTCACTTTAAGCTGTAAAGAAGTGTCTTGAAAAATGTTTAGTAAAATTTTATTTACTGTCATCATAGCAAAGGTAAAATAAATACGTTATTAGAGATGAGATACTAAAACTATTATGTTAAGATTTGTGTTGAAAAAGTCTTATCTCCATTAAACATAAATTGGGGGAAAAAAATAATAGGGGGGCTAATAATTCTAACTTCAACTTTACATGAACTTTCGAGTGTTGCAGAGGAGGGGCAACGGTGCCTGTAATGGAAAGGAAGGCAATCTCGCCTTTTTTTCTGTTTATTTCAAAGTGTTTTCATGCCTAAATAAAATAAAAGCACATTAAAAAAATCACTTTTAGGAGCAAGGGGCGTCTCCTGAGGGTTCGGCGGTATGGGTTACATATAGGGATGATTGGCTGTTTAATGTTTATTGCCAGCCTTTGTTCGAAAATACGTGAGAAATGTGATAAAATATCTTTACGGGATGATAGCTGGATAGAATTGTGAAAATTCATTAGAGTTCCAAGAAAAACGGGTTGACAGGTATGGTCAGTTGTGACTTTTTTTTAAAAATACGTTACAATATTAACAACTTACATTAATTGAACAGTTTTGCTTGAGAGTTGTGGCATTCAGTTCACAAAAAAAAAAAAAAAAAAAAAAAGATTTTCAAACCAAACAGAATGATTTTTGTACACACAATGCCCATACATTTACCCAAGAACACTGTCTCTGCATAATCAGGCCCATCGGTGTCAACAAGTGTTGATAGATGTGCCTTTAAAACCTTAAGAGAAAAAAAATATTAACCTAAGGCATTAACATGCATACATAATTTACATATTAAGCACTGACACTGACTCATCTACACATATGCAAACATTAATTAGCATATTCTGCCATGGTGCTTCTGCTACTAATGAGCAAGAAAAAAAAATAGACTGCTCTCAAACAATGATTTATTTTTATAATTATGTTTCAAATCCTATCTGCGTGTTTATTGATCCAGCCATCAATTGACCTTAAACCGCACCAGATCAAGAGAGAAAAATACTGCTAACTATAATTGTAGCGGAACATAAAACACTGTATCCTTTCATGCAAATCTTGCCTTATCTACAGAAGCACACGGTAGCCGATTATCGTTGCTGCCTTTTCTTTATGCCCGGCCATGCATTAGGCAACCCTCTTTATTTATTTAATTTCAGTCGTAATCTAGTAAGTGAAACAGTCTGTGATGAATGCCACCGTCTGAGGACTATAGCCGAGACTCAAGTAATTTGTAAATTGCGCTAATCAAACAGATTGCAGCCTGTGGGTCCCTCGCAGTGCCCACATACTCCCATGAGTTCATTACAGTAATGAGAGGTGGAGTGACACGGATATGCTGAGGACACTGGCTGTGATTTACCGCCCACAGCATCCCCCCACACACCCCTATCCATCATCGGATTCTCATTTACCTCCACACTTCCAACTGAGACCTGTAATGGAGCAGGATTCATGCAGAGCTTGGCCTTCTCCGCTGATCTGGGAGCAGGGTCTGGCCTGTGCGCGTTAGTAGAGTGATTAGAGAGGGAGGGGGCGAGGAGGTCCTGGATCAGGGTGGTTGGTGGAAGTGGTGAAGGTGAGGTGAGGATGTTCTTGTGGCCATATGGAGGCTCTGTCACTGAATGGTTGATATCTTACAAAATTTGTTTTCATCAAGTTGATAATTCAATGATGATACCACATTAAACTTTTGCAAATGCTTTGAGGTAACTATACATATTCAGTTTGATCATGGACTTTTGCTTTCAGGTGTTTGCATAATTGTTTGTACAGTAAGCAAATTGCATCATCTGTTTTTTTATGTGTGTGGATTTTTTTTTTTCTGGAAAATGTTTCCTTAATAGTTTAAGCACATATCTAATCTCTGACCTAGTTATATAAACATAATGTATGCACATTTTCTTCCCAAAAAAAATCTTGCCATTTCCATCCATCTTTTAAATGCATTGTCTTAAAATTTTATTTAAAAACAGATAGATGGACATGTACACTGAAAAAAGGGTAGACTTAACAACCTTTATTAAAGTTATATTGATTAAAATTAAATAAAAATAGTTTACAACAGTTTTGGGGTTTACTTAAAATATATTAAAAGGTCATTAATAAATGCATAAATCAATCGTCTCAAATATGACAAATTTTACTGTAAGCAGCATGGCCTACAGGAAAGTGAATTTTTATTTTTTTTTTAAATGAAAGTGTTTTGTTTCGGTTTGAGCTGTTTATGCATTACATTGCAGCCTCTGTTAAAATTTAATCAAATTTGATTGTACAATGGTCCCTCATTGTTTGTGGCAGTTACGTTCTAAAAATAATGCAAAGTAGGATTAACCCTCACCCCCTGTCTCAGCAGGGTGTTTTCAAACCTCTAATTTCATGTCAAGAAAGTCGGTGAGTCCAGATTTGTTTAGGTGGGAGTGTTGTATTGCGAAAAGAGAGAAGGGTTTGCATGAAAAGGGCAGTTTCAGTATGTTCACACGCTGATTTTTCACAGGGGCAACACAAACACAGATGCAGGGGAGATGGACAGTGACAATGTTTACATAAAAACCAGTAATCAAATTATTTGCCTTAATCTGAATAAGACAATAATATGATTGAAGTGTTTACATGAGTTGCATTTTGAATGTCCCTTTTATGATCCCTGTTTTACATGTTAAAGCACAAAATTTGATTAGCATCATTGCATCACCACACTATTCACATTTTTCTCTGGAGTTTCATATAATTTTGGGTGTTTCATTCCTAATTTGTCAACTTTTACTGAAGTTTGGTACTTTCACTTTCTTTCAGGAACATTTCATGCATGATATTGGACAAGATATTGGATGTGAGGAACGGCTAGAAGAGTGTAGTTTTAATGGAATTTTTGATACTACATGCCTTATGGGAGAAAAAAAAAACTGCGTTTCTCGGTAGATGCAGAGACTCAGTAGGTGCAGAGAATAGTGTCAAACATCTGTGCGTGTATAGGCTATCCTGTCACAAAATGCAATGAAAATCTTACATGATAGTAATAGTTTGATCAAGGTGTTTACACTCGGAGAGCAGCATTTTGGATCTTTCAGTCCATAATATTATAGTGATATTACCCTAATGTAAACTTAGTAACTAAATCATTTTGTCTAAGATATGTTTTTAAAAACTGAAAGAGTACTGCTGACGATACTAACTACCTTTTCCATCTGAATAAACACAAACAAAGAACATTGATTACACATTTGCCAAACCCGTGGAGTCTCCGCTGATTTCAAGACGAAGGCCAGTTGTTACAATGAAATACTGCCTTTTTCCTGCGCCCCTCCTCATCACATGATACCTGTCTGCAAGACTACATTTCTAAGTGTCATTTGTAAGTTTATTCTTTAAATAATTACTGTGAATACCGAATGAGAGAATGATAACTTGCGCCAAAAGCTGCTATGATGCGCGCGACTGTTTAAAAGATTTCATTATCGCACATGGTGTGTTTTTCACCTGCTTTCTTTTGCTCACAATTATTTTTGTCAACATGGATTAATTATCATTCTTTAAAATAACATTGCTCTAATATGAGATTACCAAAACTAACCCAGAATCGTATTATTATAATTTATAATAGTTAATAAACTTATACTATTCCATATATTTGTAATGTATTGTTTTTTAACCAATTTAAGATGTTTGACAATATTAAGATAATATGTTGCATTTTGGCATGTTTTTTGACTTATTTATAAATAATTTATAGACATAAAGTTAAATAAAAAATATCCTGGGATTGAAAAATACTGTGTTCCTGGACTTCTCTGAGCTTAATAGTTTAATGTATAAAATTGTGAATGAGCTTGACTATTGATGTCTCAAATAATAATGTCAAAAAACCAACATTTCTCAAAATGGATAATTCTCATTTTGCAACTAAACTCTTCATTTACAAAAAAAAAAAAAAAGTTTAAAAGTTTGCAGAGTTTTATATAATGTACTGACAAAAGTATATCCAGTTATTTTGTCTGATAAATATATTAAATAAACTTTTCTCTGATTCCTTCTTGAAACTCTTCCCTCCTAGTCACATTCTGTTACCTGTCTGATGGCTCATTATGCAGCTCATTATGCAGGTCTTTGTCTTCTCAGGTGTAACTCTCTGCATAGTAATGATAGTTCACGCCTTCCTGAATAAACCAATTTCACTCAAAAAGTGACTTAGAAATTTTTATTCATTATATTGTTTTCTGTGAGCAAGTGAACAAGATGATTCTCACATCATTTTGAAGCAAAAACACTAGACTACCAGATCTAGTTCTCAAAAGTCTTGTGCACAAATGTTCTCTGTGTGTTTCACGGCTTGTTTCGGTGATATCAAAATTTTAGTTTTTCACTAACCACGCATAAACGTTTCTTTCTCAAAAACACAAACACATACAAACATGCTACTTAGGTATGATTGTAGCCCAGCTTGTGCTGTTTGCAGTGTTATCACACTTTAGCTATTAATATGTTTTTAAGATACTGAAAACAACACAAATGTCAGTGCATGTCAAAACTTCTCCAGAGCCCCAAAACACCCTCAGACCCCAGAGGGTTAATTACCAATGGCAACACATCAAAGTGTCTCTCTGCCATCTGAACACTGTTACAGATAAAACTGTCTTCAAAGCTATATCATGCATAGTATTATAGAATAAAACCAAAGATCAAAACCTGTTGTCAGTCGCAAAGATTAATTGCTGTCAGCAAAAGGTTCGTAAAGCTTTTTTTAGCTTCTACGTGGATAATGTTGGCATTCAGTGTAATATTCTTTTTCTTGCAGTCACTGATCCACAAAACTAGCAGACTCTATCCTTACAGGGGGTCACACACACTGTATGCGCTGTGAACATGACAATTGGAGGTAACACACACACGGCTCTCACATTATTATTCAGATGGCGTTCTGTGGTGCGGCAGAAATATGAACAGTGTCCTGAGTCAATTTCCCACTAACATTAAGGCACTGTTGAGCTCGTTCTTAAACACTGATGATTTGCCATAGTATTCACCAGTGCCCAATAGAAATGACTGTGATTGGCCATGAAGGTCATCAGTTCACTGCACTTCACCGATGTTTACCGAGTGCAAACACAGATGAACAATCGACTGATCATCGCAGCTTTAAAATGCTCCAGTGTCCCTATATCTGTGTTTGCACTTGTTGAAGGGCGATGAACTGATGTCCTTCATGGTCAATCACAGTCATCTCTGTTGAGCACTGGTGAATACTATGGCAAATCAACAGTGTTTAAGAATGCACTCAGTGTGGCTTTAAATGTAATTGAGTTGCTTCTCCCCGCCCACTGCTCTGCTGTTTGTGTTTGCTTCTCATCATGCTTTACATTTGATAAACAGCACAGTGACATAGACAGACTAGGATGATGCTGTAATACAGTTTCTTAAATAGAGTTAACAAATAGAGTTTATTCAAGCTTTTCTGAAATGATGAGTCTCACACAAATGTCGTTTGCAGTACACACACACACACACACACACATACGGGTTTATGTGTGTTACAAGGACACTTCAGCTCAAACCAGTTTTTTGGTGTATTAGGGGAGCACACTCTTCCACTTACTCTAGAGAGTTGTGGTGCATATCAAAAATTTTATTTTGAGCTGTACAACACAGATTTCACTTTAAAGTTTGATTACACACAACACAACTTAAAATACAACAATCTGACTACATACTTAATTATGAGGTCATATGATAATTACCTTAAAACCCCGCCCATAACACAAACCGTTATTATAAGGACAGTAGCTATACACACACACACACTTCACAAATGTGTATTAAAGGACCAATTGTGATTTAATGGGACACAGCTAAACACACACACAAAAGTAAACGCCTTGTGTATTAAAAGGACATAAGTGATCTAGGAGGACGAATGGTTACACACACACAAAACTAAACGCCTTGTGTATTAAAAGGACATAAGTGATCTAGGAGGACGAATGGTTACACACACACAAAACTAAACGCCTTGTGTATTAAAAGGACATAAGTGATCTAGGTGGACGAATGGTTACACACACACACAAAAGTAAACGCCTTGTGTATTAAAAGGACATAAGTGATCTAGGTGGACGAATGGTTACACACACACACAAAAGTAAACGCCTTGTGTATTAAAAGGACATAAGTGATCTAGGAGGACGAATGGTTACACACACACACAAAAGTAAACGCCTTGTGTATTAAAAGGACATAAGTGATCTAGGAGGACGAATGGTTACACACACACAAAAGTAAATGCCTTGTGTATTAAAAGGACATAAGTGATCTAGGAGGACGAATGGTTACACACACACAAAAGTAAATGCCTTGTGTATTAAAAGGACATAAGTGATCTAGGAGGACGAATGGTTACACACACACAAAAGTAAATGCCTTGTGTATTAAAAGGACATAAGTGATCTAGGAGGACGAACAGTTAAACACACACACAAAACTAAACACCTTGTGTATTAAGAGGACATAACTGATTTATGAGGACATGGTTAAACAAAAAAGTCAATGTTTTGAACTTTTTCCATCTAGATACAAAGTAATTTACAAATATGCCCTTATAGTTACTTATGTGGCATCCTGATCAGT